TTTGCCCAATTTGTGACATATATATGAGTCATAACTCTTTTTGCTTGCATTCTTAACGTTGTTGTTAAGAACGTTATTATATAATATTGCAGTCACATGTGTGTTTACATTACTGACCTTACTTACTAATTATTTGTAGACATATAAAACTATCAATAAATAGGACTAGTGGAAATATGCGCAGCTTTATTTGATGTTATTAAAAGTCCGATTCCTGTGTTCACCTAAGTACAAACGATTTATTTTTGTTTGCTCGCCAAACAAATTTGATCTTACGGAATTTGTACGGATTTTTCACCCACCACTTTTTGTCCGTGTACGGATTTTATACTCTAAACGTCTGGCAGCCCTGGTTCCATCACATCGGTAAAGAACATTAAGACAGAAAGCCAATTTTCATTCTCCAATTGCGGGTAACGGTCCGATCTCAATTTGCGTATGTGTATATAAAAATAAAAAAATAAAACCCTAAGAAGAATACTGTCTAGCAAAGAAATATGTATTTTAAAAAGTAAAAAGAGCCAAAATATTCTAAGCAAATAGAAAGTAAAAAGAGCTGCACTTTTCTGAGCAAAGAGCCGCATTTGGCTCAAAGAGCGGCGTTTGCCTACCGTTGGCATATTATATAGTTTTTTAAATTGCGCGAACGGTGTAAGTCTTATGATTTTTTAAGCAGGTGGCAACCCTATTCAAAAAAATTAAACCTTGCACATCTAGAGGCCCAGCCCTCTAATTTGACACCTAATTTTGTTCTAATACAACGAAGGGTGCAGCTTTTATGATTTAAAAAATGGGGACAACCCTTTCCAAAAAAGTCATACCTTGCTGTATATTTAGAGGCCAAGCCCTTTGATTTGGAACCCCAGTTTTGAAAATCGAATAATCGGTGCAGATCTGATGCCGTTAACAAAAAATGCTTGCATATATTGTATTTATACATAGTACATACATATCTAGATTTGATCTAACCCTGGTATTTGTGTATTAGGGAGTTTCTAAAACTATTAAATTTGAGTATACTCAACTCTGGAATACTTGATTTGTAACTTTGACTTTTAATTTTGCCTGAAAAAATAAAAGGGAAATTTTAACTTTTATTTTGGCGTCAAAACAATAAAAAGCAGATATAATCGGTATTATTTGCTCAAAATGATAAAAGTCAGATTTTTAAAAGTCATTCATGGATGAATCATAATCTACAATGTGAGATGAGTCGAATGGTACCTTTGAAAAATCTATAGCATAATATTTTCACTATCCCTTTTTGATGTCAAAAATTGTAAAATAACTTTTATTTTCAGTCTCTATAATAAACTCATATTAGTTGTGTTCGATAGGTGCAAAAAATTGGAGAACAGTGCAGTCCAAAAGTCTGTTCATTTTAAAATTTCGATATGTCGATACTATCGATAGCGGCTCTCGATAGTGGCTCTCGATAGTACCTAAAAATATCGATAGTGTAATATATCGATAGTTTTCCAGTTCTAATTTCGACATTGACATCGCCAATGCCCCACCCCTACACAGTACGTCAAATGGACAGGTAGAGTGATTCCATAACACACTGATGGAAATATCGCGATGCCTTAAACTTGACAAAAATCTAGACGATATCGAGGAAATAGTCCTTCTTGCCACGATTGAATATAACATACAGTGACTGGGATGAAACCCATTACCGTCTTTCGCTCAACAACGGACAACGGACAAATAGCTTCCCGATTAAAAAGCCCACAAGATAAAGAGTCAATAACGCACAACAGGAATAGACAAGATAGGGAGTTTCCCGTAGGAGAAAAAGTGCTCGTAAAAAATAATAGGATACTAAATAGCAGGGACCGAAAATAATAATAATAATCCCAACGGGTTTTACCCTCCATTTCCGCCCATCCGCACGAGGGGCGCAGTCCGCATGACGTACGGAACCAATATTTTCAATTTTTGCGACGAGTCACGATAGGCAGGAGTTTGTTAAGCGTCCAGATCTAAAACTGTTCAGCTACAGAACTAAATTCATCAGCTGATTTTATGTATTTATGTTAATAATTCATTTATTGGGAGAGGATAGTATCGCTTTCTTAATGCGAATCAGACAAATCAAATGTGCTGGAATGAGAGTTAAAATCCTAGCATAAGCAACAGAGTGGCTCTTGTGAATCAAAATTAGTTTTACAAGTTTTAAAAAATAAGGGATAAAAGTGTCTTGATACACGGGAGGGAACATTAAGGCTAACTTCACCTAGAAGAAGCGGAGTTGAAATTGAGCCTGCCAGTAATTTAACCATGAAAATTGCACCAAGCATTTCCCTGCGACTGACAAGCGTAGGAAGATTAATAAGTTTTAATTGGCTCGTATAAAGCGGAAAGTTGTATTGAGAATCCCAACAGAAATTTCTTAAAGCAAAAAGTAGGAATTGGTTTTGAATTTATTCTATCTTTTATTAATTAATCCCAACGGTTTTTACCCTCCATTCCCGCCCAACCGATACGAGGGGCGCAGTCCGCATGACGTACGGAACCCTTTTTTTCTTGTCAGAGTAATTTTGATACCTTGGATTCCAAACCACCGAACCGTATTCCAGAATCGGTCTAGCTAATGTTGTGAACAGGGTTTTAGTGATATAAGGGTCACTAAATTATTTTGACCATCGTTTCACAAATGCAAGTACACCTTTAGCCTTGTTGACTGTCACATTAATGTGCAGATTAAAATTAAGTTTCGAATCCATTGTGATACCAAGGTCCAAAAAATTGTATACCTGATCCAAATTATGGTTATCTATTGTATAAGAAAGTGGCTGAAAAGCTCTTCGCGAGAAGCACATTACTTTACATTTTCCCAGATTTAGAGGCATACGATTTACATAGCAGCAGTTAGCCATGCTGTTTAAGTCTGCTTGTAGCCAATGCTTTTCTTTGATTGATACATACGATTTATGAAGTTTCACATCATGAATCTATATATATATTTGAAAGTGCTTTGCAACCTTTTTAAAAGTCTAAGGGCCGTTTTCACCACCTCTGGTTAACACTAATCCCCAGTAAAACTTCGTTACCGACGTTACTGACTCCATGCATATAACATTGTGTCGATAACATCGGTATCGATGTTTAACTGGAGATTAGTGTTAACCAGAGATGGTGAAAACGGCCCTAAGGGCCGGTTGCTCAAAGCTTGGTTGACACAATCTCCGGTTAAACATCGTTATCGACGTTACCGATACCGTGTTATATGCATGGAGTCGAAGACGTCGAGAACGGCGTCAACCGAAGGTTAGTCTCAACCAGGCTTTGAGCAACCGGCCCTAATTGTGTTAACTTATACGCAAGTTATACATAGGAAATATGGGTATCAAACGACACATTTTTAATTAGTTAATAAGATAGATGAATTATTGAAAGATAGGTATGTATTTAGGAGAGATGCCACTGGCTCAAAAAATTTAATTCAACTTAATTCATCAGTTAATTGTAATATGTGTCACAATGTCAGACTTATACACAAGTTAAATGAAAAATTCAAATATGAGAGTCCAGTCATCTTTAGTTAGAAATGTTGTGGTTAGGGTTACCACAAACTCGAAAAGTAATATCTACTAATGTACATATCTGTGTTCATATGGAATAGAAGCGTATGTCAAACTTATACACAAGTTGAATGAAATATTCAAATATGAGTGTCCAGTCATCTTTAGTTAGAAATGTTGTGGTCAGGGTTACCACTAATTCGAAAAGTAATATCTACTAATATACATATCTGTGTTCATATGGAATAGAAGGGTATGTCGAAACGCTGGTTTTAGTATAATGTGTCGTTTGATGCCCATATTTCATATGTATAACTTGCGCATAAGTTAACACAATTAGGGCCGGTTGCTCATAGCCTGGTTGACACTAATCCTCGGTTAACTTCGTTATCGACGTCTTCGACTCCATGCATATAAAACGGTGTCAGTAAAGTCGATAACGATGCTTAACAGGAGATTGAGTCAACCAGGCTTTGAACAACCGGCCCTTAAACTTTTCAAAAGTTTGCAACGCACTTTCAAATTTTTTTCAATTACTACGCTCTTACGTCTGTCACCCATATGGTGGTAAATATTACAATTACCATAGTTTAAATTGAGTTTGATTTTTTTAAACAGGTGGCAACCTTCCTACAATTTACATAAGAAATAAAGCATTTTTCAAATAATTTTAGTTGATACCCGTATTGCAATAACTCATTTAAATCTGTAAATAATTTGAATAACTCTTATTTTTGAAAAGGTTGCAACTATTTTCGAAAAACTAAAACCTCACGGCACATCTACAGCCCAAGCCCTTTAATCTTACACCTCATTTTTCAAAATCGAACGAACGGTGAGGATCTAATGGAATTGATTATTAAATAATTTGAAATAAATTTTTTAACAGGTGGCAACCTTTTTCGAAAAAACTGAAACCTCATTGCTCATCTACAGGGCAAGCACTTTAATTTGACACCTCATTTTTGCAGATCTGACAATCTGGACAAAAAATTGCTTCGCGTATTAAATATAAAGATTATAAAAAATTTATAGAAATAGGTGGCAATTTTCGTTTAAATATTTCTATTTGAAAGCTTTTTTAGTCTTCTTTGATTTGGTATGCGTTTTTTTTTTTTATTGTTACGAAAGGACTTTTATTTCGGACTTAAAAAATATTTGGCCAAGTTTAACTTTTATTGCTGGACTTAAAAATAAAAGTCCGGGTTAACTGATTATTTTATTTCAAATAAAATAAAGGACCAAAGATAACATTTTTCTAAGGACTTTTATTATAAAAGTTTTAAAAGTCCCGGTCCCTGGATACCAGGAAATAAACTTACGCCCCTCTATACTGAAGAAGAGTTGGAAAAGGATTTAGTCACAATGGTTCTCATAAGAGGGAGGAGGGTCCGTAAGGGCAACCTTCGTTAAAATTAAATTTAAAATCTAGGAATGAATTAGTTTTAATAGGAAATTTTTTTATGTTTTTAGAAATGGCATAGAATTGGTTATAGCCATATTGGTATCGGCATCAACAGGACGAGTAATAGACTATTCCAATGCAAGGTGCATTCCGGTGGCCAGCGGTGACCTCGTAATTTGGGAAAACTTTGGACACATCAAGCACGTCACCAACTTGACCCTATACGAATTACTAAGGGACGCGACAATCAACGGAAGTCCTCAAATCATCAAATCAATGGAAGTTGCTAGAAGCGGACGTAAACCACATAAGTTGGCTAATACAGACGGTAAATACTCATCACAGGCAGGCGAGAGGCTTGTATGCTCTAGGGACGGTCCAATTAATTGACTCGTAGGACAGGCAGTTTACCATTAACAGAAACAGAGCAATAATTACAGAACTAGATAATATAATTACTTCCACCACATTCGCAAAAATTGGAATCTTGAACCCTATTCTCTTAGACAGTAACGAAATAAATTTCATAATGGAAAACGAGTACTTCACAACCCTTACTGTAGCTGATGTTATGACGGTAGCTTAGGTTAAGGTTTTACAATACAATAATGAGTTATGTTTTGTAATAAGATATCCTATTCGTAAGTTGAGATGTAGGAAAATTATTATTGTACAGTAGCTCGCGGCCACCAAATTCTCCACCTTAAAAAATCCATCTTAGCTACATGTCGCAATCACACCTTACCGGTGAGGAACTGCAGCGACACAACGCCAACGTTTAATAACGTCGCACCAATTGCACCGATAAGTGACGGTCTAGTCGTCATCAATGATCAGCTGGCTGTTGTAGAAGAAAATAACGAGGCCCCCATCACGGTCAACGGTACTTACCTAATTGTCTTCAAGGATAGCGTAGAAATCAATGCACGATATTTCACAATGAAAATTCAACGATGCCTCTGAAGCCCGAAACTCTATCGGCTTCCGCAACCAACCTAACGCAGCATACCGAGATACTGAGCGCCTCCTACCTCCACCATGTAAATCAACAGAACCTTCAACACATCAATCATCTGCGACAAACAGTTGAACAAGGTTGCGTCGGAGGTTTGTCGGCTACTGGGGTCTTATTAATTGCGGGACTCGCAGCTTACGTACTTTGACGCATGGCCATGATCAAGAGCAAGATTTTCATAATCAGGTCCGTAGAGGTTCCAATCAAAAATGCTGCTACGAGGACCGTGGACGTCCCTCATTTAGAAGGGGAGGAGTTATCGTGGGAAGCCCTCACATTCCACATTCGCACAGGTTGCTTGCATCTAAGCAACCAAAAATTCTACACGAGCCGCTAAGTCAGCACACTCAACATTCACACAGGTTGTTTGCACCTAAGCAACCAAATATTCTATACGAACCGCTTAGTCAGCAAAGCGCAGTGGAAACGTCGGCAAAGGAACAGCAGCGCAGCGCAAAGTGGTGGCTTAGGTTTAAGTTAGGAAATTATCGTAAGTTTAGTTTTTATACTCACTTCAAACCGACAGTCAGTGGCTGTAATAAATTGTCAATAATATTAGAACAAAATCGTTTAATTTGTATAACGGTCGGTTGCTAAATGTCTCTTTAACAATAAAATAAACATCATTATAGACGTTGGCTGCATAAATTAACAGGAATTCGATCACGTCGATAACAATATTTAACCTGTAGTTAGTGTTAACCAGACATTGAGTAATAGGCCCTAATTCTGCAACAAGATGCTTCAGCTGCCAATTTTTCAAAAAAATACTAGATATTGGTCACGGAAAGGTTCAAATTGATGAAGAACCAAAGTTCGTTTCACTTCCACCTAATTTTTGCGACAACGTGACATCGTTTGAGGAATTAATTTAACAAAAATTCCATGGATTGAGCTCAATTACAAAATCATCAATGGGCCTGCGAATGTGCTTTTTATTTATTTATTTATTTATTACACATATGACCTTATATAACAAATATTACAAATTCAACACTTTTTCATTAAGAGTAGAGATAGGGTAATGTTAATTTTCTTTTACAGCTATTTTAATTTTTCTTTTAATCTGGATGTAATATAGCTTATGCATAATAATAAATAATAAATAAATATATATGGACGAGATTCCGAGTAGCACAGTACATACACTGGGCGGTTGAAAATAACTAGTTTCCACGCCTCCTCTTCTCCATACCACTTTAGAGGCAGGCGATTTGAATGGACCAGATCGAAAGTCATGCTGCTGTAACAGATGGAAAGGACTAGTTTCCATGCCGAACTGTTCTGTTTCTTCATTTATAGGCAGGCAATCAAAATGGACGAGATTCAGAGTCGCGCTGCTGGACTGGATGGAAGGGTCTAGTTTCCATGCAAATCCTTGCTACCTGATAGCCAATGTTTTGCAATAGTTAAGTAACAGCCTCTTGTAAGTGCCAAAGTTCTCGCACTGTTTTATTTAAGCAGGTAGCTCGCTAAAGCATTTCAACCCTTTATAGAAGATATTTTTATTGTCAACTTCTGGTTTATATAGCGGGAGCCTGAAGCTGTTGTTTTCCCTTAGTAAGTATGAAGGAGTTTCATTAATATATCGTAAGGTGTCACTCAGATAATCTGGAAGCCTACCCTGATTTATGTTAAATATGAATTTCATAGCGTGATAGAATATTTGCTGTTTAATGCTCATCTAATTAAACTCTACGATCATATCCTGTACGGGTGTGTCGTACCGTTTGTTCAAAATAAATCGCATAGCTCTGTTTTGCATTTTGTGAAGTTTATCAATTTGTGTGTTGTTAGCTATGGAAAAGTTCTTCTTCTTCTTTTTCGGCGCTGTAACCGCCTAAGAGATTTTGGCCGAGTTCAGCAAAGCACGCCAATCAACTGTGCCAACNAAATAGCTCAGCTGGCAGGTTTTCAGCTCCAGCAGCTTTGTTGTTTTTCAGCCGCGTTATTGCTATACGTACCTCGTCATAGTCAGGCGGTGGAACGTCGACTCCGTCATCATCGACCATATAGCAGGGTGGAAAAGTGTTCCCTCCGCTCTGGATATCAGTTACTAGGTCGCCATTATTGNATCTGCGGTACTCTCCGTCGCCAGCGCGTAAAGGCCCGTAAATCTTCCGCAAAATCGTTCTCTCAAACACTCCAAGAGCCGCCTCATCGGATGTTGTCATTGTCCATGCTTCTGCGCCATATACCAGCACGGGCATGATGAGTGACTTATAGAGCGTACGTCGAGAGAGGACTTTACTTTTGTATTGCCTACTCAGTCCAAAGATGCCAAGAGTGATTCTGCGTTGGATTTCAATGCTGACATTATTATCGGTGTTAATGCTGGTTCGCAAGTAAACGAAATTCTCTACTTTTTCGAAATTGTAACTGTCAACAGTGACGTGGGTGCTAAGGCGCGAATGTGCTGACTGTTTGTTTAATGACAGGTGATACTTCGTCTTGTCCTCGTTTACCACCAGACCCATTCGCTTTGCTTCC